GATCTGTGTAGTGAGACCCTGTAGACCCTGCACTAAATACATAAAAAAGAAAAAAAAATCTAAATTTTCTAGTTCCTGGAATGAGAAAGCGTATCAGAAGATTAGAGTGGCTTGGATGCTAGTCTGCTGTATGTCTCACAGAAAGCCCCTGGGGGGATCCAGAGGACAGGCATGACAGTATAGTGTGGGCCTTACATTTTAGTGTGATCTTTCTCACTGCCATCTACAGACTATGTTCCATTGGGTGGGGTCACCAGCAGAGAAGGAGGGCAATGGGAGCAGCTTAGCAAAAAGCTACAACAACACCGGACACACAGTATTCACTTGGTACCATCTATGTTTAAGTTAAAATGGCAAGGCTCGGCGAGATAGTTCAGCAGACTAAGTACCCACTTAGACAAAAGCAGGGATTGGGATTCAACCCTGGGCCCCACAGGCTGAACAGGCCCCACCCCTGGGCGGGCTGAGCTGGCCACCCATATTGGGCTTGGTGGCGCACACCTGTAACCCCAGCACTGGGGAGACTGAGACAGGTGGATCACTATGAGTCCAAGCTGTGTAGCCAAACCCTCTACCAAATACATATTTTTAAAAAATCAAATTAAAATGGTGTTTTGGCTTAATTCCATGAAGCTGAGATCACCATGACTGAAATTGTTTTGTTGTTGTGTTAACAGTAATATTCCAACAGTAATCATACCTCTTGGGCAGAAAAGATACTAAGATTTTCAAATTATGAAATTCTATTTTTTTTTTTTTTTTTTTCAGAACTGGGGATTGAACTCAGTCCCTTGTGCTTGCCAAGCAAGATCTTATTCTACTGAGCCATCTCCCCGTGAGTTATGGAATTCTGAACCAAAGGTATTTATCACATGTACAAGAAAAAAATATTGTTTTAAAATCATTCATTATTCCTTTTCAAGATACATATTTAAACTCTAGTGGAACTCAGCTCGAGTGGTGTCCCCTGCCCTAAGTCATTTTTATCTACTGTAATTTACGTATTAATGTATCAAAGGTTTGTGGGGTTTTTTGTTTGTTTGTTTGTTTGTTTGTTTTTTAAGAGCCAGGAATCAAACCTAGGGCCTTATGCACACTAGGAAAAGGTCTACCGCTGAGTCACGTCCCTAATCCTACATATTAATGAAGATGATTAGGTGCTAACTATGGTATCTTTACAGACAACTCACTAGATCTTTTTTCATGATGCTGATTTTCAGGAATGTCCTTTTATCTTGTCCAAGTTCCAATAGTTCCCTGATGTAAAACAGAATTTAACTTTTTTAAAAATTGGTACATATTTGTAATATAAGATATCTACATTCTTTTTTATCATTTATTTATTTTGGTGGAACCAGGGATTGAACTCAGACCCTTGTGCTTGCCAGGAAAGTTCTTATTCTACTGAGCCATCTCCCTGGCCCCTCTTTTCTATCTGTTAAAATAGGGTCTCCTATGCAGTTCAGGCTGGCCTTGAGCTTACTTTGTAGACCAGGCTGGTCTTGAATTCACAACAATCCTCCTGCCTCAGCCTTCTGAGTGATGGGATGTACTACATTCATCTTTGAGAGTAGGTGCATGTATTTAATATGTATTAATTCTTTCTATTCCCCCCCATTCTCCTTCTTCCCTCTGTCTAGATCACTTCCCACATTTCCTTCCTTCCTTCCTTCCTTCCTTCCTTCCTTCCTTCCTTCCTTCCTTCCTTCCTTTGTTCCTTCATTTGTTTGTTCATTCATTTTCTTTCTTCTTTCTCTTCTCTTCTCTCTCTTCTCTTCATATTCTCTCTCTCTCTCTCTCTCTCTCTCTCTCTCTCTCTCTCTCTCTCATTGATGTTTCCAACACATAGTACCTACCTTCATCCCTCATTGGGTTAATTGCTACATAGTAAAATTCTACATCTCTTTCCTCTCCCCTCTTCTACCTTGTTCCTTCGATACCTTTCCCATTTGCATAAGGCCTATCAATCTGTTTCCTTTATCAAGCTTTTATTTTGCTCTTGTATTTTGTGTTTCTCATATGAGAGAAACCATACTGTGTTTAAGCTCATGTGTCTGATTGATTTATTTATTTATTGGCTGGCTCAGCCCACCCTGGGGGCAGGACTGGTACAGCATGTGGTGCCAGAGATCGAACTGTGGTCTCTGTGCTCTTGCCTGAACTTGTCTAAGCAGACAAGTTTTGTATTTAGTACAAGTTCTACAGGGTCTACAGAGTCTCACTATGTAAATCTGACTCACAGTGATTCTCCTGTTTTCAGCCTTTCAAGAGCTAGGATTATAGGCGCGCGCCACCATGCCCAATCTAATTGCCGGTTCAGCACACCCTGGGGGCAGGGCTGGTATGGCACGCCAGAGATTGAACCCTGCCCACTGCGCTCTGCCTAAGCAGGTGCTTTAGTCTACTGAGCTATTAATGTGCTGGCTCTTAAGCAGGCACTTCAGACCACTGAGCTATCTCGCTGGCTCCCAGTGTCTGGTTTATCTAACTTAACATTATATTTCAAGGTGCATCCATTTTCCTACAAATGTCTTAAATTTAGTTCTTTATAAATGAGTAATACTTCATTATAAGAAACCACATTTTCTTTATCCATTCCTCTGTTGATAGACATATAGCCTGTGTTTCCACAATTAACTACTGTGAATTATGCGTTATAAGCATTGGCATGCATGGACTGCTGGAATACGATGTCTTTAACTCTTCCAGGCAGATACATGGAATTATCTGGGTTGAATGGAGTTTTTATTTTTAGGTTTTTGGTAAATCTCCATACTGATTTTCATAATTTCCATACTGATTTGTACTAGTTTACATCTTACCAGCAATGCAGGAGGGCGCATTTTTGCCACAACCTCACCAGCATTTTTACTTGACTCCTTGATGATTTCTATTCTTTCTGGAGTAAGATAAAATTGAAGTGTCATTTTAATTTGCATTTCTCTAATGGCCAGTGCACTTGAACACTTTTTTATGTACTTATTTGCCATTTGTATTCTGAGAAATGTCTATTTCAGTTGGTATTTTTTGAGTCTTTTCCTTCCATGGTTACTTCCTTCAGTTCTTTCTATATTCTAGATATTAGTTCTTTGTCTGAACTGTTATAAATTGCCTCTTCACTCTGTTGGTTGTTTCCTGTGCTGTGCAGAAAGTGATTAATTTGATATGATCCCATTTGTTGACTCTTGCTCTTATTTCTTGTGCCTCTGGGGTTCTGTTCAGAAAATCCTTCCTTACACCTATGACCTAAGGAATTTTACTTGTTTTATTCTAGTAGGTTAAGTATTTCTGTTTTAGTATTTACACCTTTCTTCTATTTTGATTTTAACTTAGTACATGGTGAGAGATACACATCTAACTTCAGTCTTCTGCATTGGAGAGCCAGTTTTCCCAGCATCCTTTGCTGAAGAGGTTGTCTTTCCTCCAGTATATGTTTTGGCCCCTTTGTCAAAGATCAGGAGGTTGAATGTGTTTAGGGATGTCTTTGCATCTTCAACTCTATTTTGTTGATCACATGTCTGTTTTTGCACCAATACTATGCTATTTTTAATTTTTATCACTATGGCTTTATCATGTAACTTGAAATCAGGTATA